ATTATGACTAAACTAGCATTTTCTCGCGGCCCCGCCTGCGTCGTTTATTTCGGTAGAATCACTCTGTTTTCGTAAGTCGTAATGTGATGTCACCTAATAAATAAGCTGTAAAACGCAAAAAGAACTTTTGATATAGGGCTAGTAGATCCAGAGATAAGCGCGTTCAAACAAACAAACTGCACAGCTTTATATATTATTAAAGATAACATGAACATAATTCTAATATTAGTATACAGAAATACTCAATAGATTTACAAAAGTTTATTCTAACAATTCTATACGAAAGCTCCCGTGACACGTGATCATAACAAATAACAGTATTTTCAAACAAACATCGAATTAGTAACATGAGCGGTAAGTTAGGCCCTATTATCGTGATTAGCATGCTAGGGCATTTACCTTTAACCCATACTCGATATACTGACCTATTTAAATATGTTGGTCAAGCTTTCTTTATAGTTGCCGCTCGGTGAATTGTCTAACAAAAGATTTCAAAGGTTACCTAAATGAAGTAGGTAATATTGTTAATGATACTTTAGAGTTTAGATAATTGATAACCCATCTTTATATAATACTAGCATTGCCCGCGGCTGCGCCCGCGTTCAGATGACCAAAAACCAAATTCTTAAGTTTTACATATTAGTATACTCTTACATTGCAGTTTTTGTATTTTTTCTCAGAAATAAGATATTTTCCGGCGGTAAAAAGTATCCTATATATTGACTCGGATAACCAGCTACCTTCATACCAAATTTCATCAAAATCCCTTCAGTGGTTTTTCCGTGATGCGGTAACAGACAGACAGACAAAAATTCTAAAAACTATAGATTAGGCCTCTGTATCGATAATAATGTCTATTGCAATAAGATTTTCCAAAAAATATTTAATGTACAGATTCGGCTTAGTTAGAATTTTATTATATGTATAGATCTGTATATAATTTAATCACAGTATAGATATGCATAAACTAAAATTGTAAATTGGACTACTATTCTAAATTTGAAAGTTTGTATGTTGTGTGTGTACAGTTGGTAGTAACACATAGGTAGAGCGAGGATAAGTCTCTAGTATTATTATAAGTTAAGCACAATATTTTAAAAATAACTAATATAAGAAAGTCCTACTAAATGAAGAATAATGAATCCTTTATTTATTTAAATCTTTTCTACGTCAAAAGAAGTGCAACTGTCATAACATCACACGCACGTGCTTGACTTTTAATTGGGATAACAAATATATAGGACTTAAGGACGACTTTCTCTTTAATTATTATTTATATCTCTCTTTGGAAATGCTCTTCAATTGATTAATGATGATTTTGTGTAATTGGTTAACGCTTATATCACAGACTAATAATAAATGAAGTACAATAATAGGATATAGTTTTATTAAAACTCTTTCTTTTCAGATTTATTTTGATTTTTGGTTCCCGAAGTTTCGATTGATTTACAGCAAATATGAGATTCTCTCTAGAAAAATCCTCGAAAAAATCTAAAAATATAGTTCTATTTAAATTATCAAATATTCGCATAAATTTAAGAAAGGATATGTAGTTATAAAATGGCTTAAAGAGAAATAAAGTGAAAATTAGTGACCAGAAATCATGATATTACTTGCTTAAACTGCTTTTAAAACAAGAGTTAGAAGGTTAGAGCTATTTCATTTTTTATTTTGTATATACAATACAACAATAGAATCAACATAATAAATTTAATACTTCAATTCCTATTATAGGATTTTATTTGGAAATATCGTCAAAGTGATATCATTAAGTTTAAGCTGAGATGTAAAAACGAAGTGGTAAAAAACATCAATGAACTATAAAAGCTTATCAAACAACTTTGTAGTAACGTAATAAAATAGAATGGGTGTTAGACCACCTAGAGTGACAGTGAAAGCCTTGATAAAATGGTATTCGGAAAATCGGTTTTTCAATGAATTCTTTTAAAAAAGCTATCGTTAAACTTTAATTGTGCTTTAAGTGTGTGTTTTTAAGTTTTATGAGTTTTATAATAAGCTATTACTTAGGTACTAGTTTGATATAGGTACTAACAGAAATACAAATTTCAAAATACTATTAACACCTCTAAGTAAAATTCTAATAAATTTATAAAATTTCTAAGAAATCTATTGTTAATTGTAACGCCGGTGTGTCCGCGGGCGTGGAGGGATTAATAATAATATCTATTAAATTTATCATTATTATATAAATAAGGTTCTCTTTGTAAATTATTGTGTTCAGTGATATATTTAAAAAAATAGAGATATTGTCGCTGCCAACCTAACATGTTATATAGAAATGAAATAAATGCGTCTCTAACTCGATGTATGTAATGTACATATGTATGTACTAGATGTATTTATTGACTTTATTAAGATGTCATCGCAGTGATATACAAATAAACCTTATCAAGCTTAAGTCGCCTGATGAGTAGGAGAAAGTTCTTAATGCGACGTATATATGTCTATCCTTTTTTGAAATGTATGTATCTACTAACGACTTACCCTGGCTTTGTTTGGGTGCGCCCCTTGGCCGTTTGTATTTTTAATACCTGTTATATGCAGGGACTGACACCTTATGCAAAATTTTTACTATAAGTTTCTGTGTTACTTAATCTCATAATACTCGTATATCTGTGCAGTAAATTTCATCTCAATCTGTCTAGCAGCAGCAGTAACAAACACACATAACACACTTTCGCATTTATAATAATGTGATATTTTTTTATATCAGTCTTAGTTATTTTGCTTGTATCGATAAAATATGCATTTTAATGGACTTATTAACGTACAACAAAACGGGGTTAAAATTCAATGTAACAACACTTGATTGGCATCGACGTTTATCGCTCACGGAACAATTGAATGACGAATGCGATTTTTACGGCCACTCTACTTGATTCATTCTCAATAATTTTACTCTTGTTTGCGAAGTTTGTTTTGATAAACAATTTGTCTTCTTTTACATTTAAGAAGGATGAGAAATGAATTTATTATGTATTTAGCAATATACTACTTTTTTCAAAATGAATTTGTAGTTAAAAGAACTAAGTACTTAAAAATAATAAACCTGCTGTATAATATATAAGACACAATTATCAATTATAAAACAGAATAAAAATTTATTTTCTAAAAGCATGAAAAATATGGTTAATATTATGAAGATTATATATCTATACGATAATAATAAATTTAATGGTAATATTCTGCTATGTAATGTATTTTAAAGTAAAAATTGTATGTAATATTAATAGAGATATAAAGGGAGCTATAAATATGAATGAGTGTAAGACTATTGAGAACCTTATAGATTTAATATGCATAACACAAATAGTAACTGTACTGTTTGGGCGCATTTCCAACAAAACTCTTCCTGTTGATATCACATAAGTTGTATGGGAATTATCCATCTTCATAGAAGACATGGGAGCGACCGATGTCCAGTCGACTAAAGGCACCATACCTACGCGGCCGTACAGTGCTAAGGGCTTTACTGTACCCGGAAATTGGAGCTTTGCGATATATGTGGCTATTTTGTTATTGACACTCTTTAAACTCTAGAAGCGTATTAAAGTTCGAAGCAGTTAATAGACCAGTTTGAAAGGTAAGCTGTCCATATGTTATGGTGAGAATTGCTTAGTGACAAACACTTTATTTTTGATAAGGAGAGCGAAAAGAAAATATAGTGATATTTATATTTAAATATAATTTCGTGATAAATATATAAATAGATATGAAATATAGGTACCTAATATTAAAAATAAAAATAAAACTTTTGTATTGTAATTTGATATACGAACCAACGTTACACTTTTGTTTGACACTATTTAGTGTTAGTTAAAAATCCATATTTATGGCTCTAATAAGGTTGTAGAAATTAATTAAGAAGTGATACTACGAAAAATTCTAATATTTTTTTCAATAATTTCACAAAAATACATTATAATATCGTATAAAATCTTAGAAAATTATAATATTTACAAAAATTATGTTACATATATAATGAAACAAATTCATATGAAAAGTAAGATAAACGGAGGACATAGTTCTAAGCATTCTCGACTCACATCGCCAACGATTTTCCGCCAACTTTAATCTGATAACTTATCCAGTGCAGCACAGTGACACAGTGAGGCGTGTTGTAACAGTGTGGTAATGCGTTTATCTCCACTGTTGACTCGATGATAATATTGAAGACACGAAAACGAACAATATTTGGATGTCATCTTAGAGGCTATTGTTGGGAAAAGTGGGAACTATTTAACATAACCCACTATTCACTCTTAAGTCATCATGATCAGTAAAAATAGCTGTATAGAAGTATTGTGCGTTTGAATCATTCGTCATCGCAGTTGACACGTGTGAAGTCTATAGTGGTGGTAAAAAAATTGTTAAATATAATCGATATACATTACTTACCAGGTAAGAAGAGGCAATAATCGAACAATAAAATAATGTGCAAAATAGAGAACCTGTGCTTTATACTAGGAACTTGAAAGTTGAAGTGCTAAGCTTTATTTGTTCAAACACTCTAATCTTAGTAAAAACCAATACGATTAAAAAAAAACTTTTTGCATCGCAACATATCTAGCATTACGATTGTACCCTTAAAAGCGGATCAATTATATATAAATAAACTGCACGGACCGAGCCAAATGCAAAAAATAGTGTTAATTATAAAATGAAATATTTCAGTTTGTACAAATGAACGGATACATACATTTTTATATGTAGTATTATACTATTTTAATTATAAAATTATATCAATTTGTTTCAGATTTGAGCTGCTCTCACAAATTGGAGTAATTTTCTAAAGACAGATGGAGCACGACTGTAATAAATCGTGAAGTGACGTGAATAACAATAAAAATGATACTTATTACTCTAGAAATATTACATATCGTGGACATTATATAGTTTGTAAGACTTGTTAAGACTTTTATATTACAATGAACTTGAACGTAGATGCTTTAATGGTGCTAAAAGATAAGTGACGGAAAATGGAGAAGCGAATATTTTTTCATCTAAGGAAACTCTTATGGTAAGTCTTTTACAATGTAATCGTTTTGTTTAAATATTTGGTTTGAAAGCAAAATATAAATTGATTTGTTTATACAGAACACACGATTTATAACTTTAATTTTATAATTATGATTTAAAAACAATAGTAACTAACGAAGGTTTATACTTTGCACTGTTCTACAAGATACTGAATGAAATTTTCTCTTCCTTGAGTAGCGAAAGTGCTTTGTTACTACAAAGTTATAGTATTATATTGTTTAGTACCTATAATATGTTCGTTTACTGTGAATTTACGACTTCGTTGACATATGGGTACCCGCAACATATTTAAAATTTTGCGCCACTCAATAGGGAAAGTTACGGCACGTCATAAACCCTTGCCCTACATATTCTATTACATTATATGAATGTATACACTTAAATAATATATATTTACAAAAAAATATAAGCATTAAGCATTTATTATTCTGAAATAAGATTTAAAAGAGAATACAAAATAATAAGAAAAACATTTATTCTTCATATATTATTATGATAACAATAGAAATTTACTTATTTTATAAAAAACATCGACACCTTTTGGCAAATTAGTACAAAATTATGTCCCTATAGTTTATCTGTGTATTAAATTTAATCCAAATCAAAACAAGTGAAACAGAGCAGCACCGCTGGAAACGCTACTTTAGAATACAGATACTGCCCTACGACGGTTTATCCAAGTCTTATGCATCAAACAAACGCCATATTAACCGCTACGCTTATGTTTACGTTCTACAAATATTTTTATATGTTTCAACGGTAAACTTTTTGTGCTCACTCGAGACTCCTTGGAGAGTAAAAGTAAACAAAAATTATACGTCCATTCATGGAGCACGTGCTTAGAAAGGATTAAGAAAATAATGATCAAACGTATGTTGTAAGCGTGTGAAAATATCGTTTTAATTTCAATAGTTAAAACTAACCAATGATAATATGGTTAAACATAATATTTTAGTACATTATACTAAATATATAATATAACATAAGTACTTTGTATTCATTAAGTACTAAGGTTTTCTTTTATCAACATTATTTTGGTTTAAATATTCAAAATTACTTTCCATATTCTTTTTTTATCAATCTGTGCAGTTAACTGTGCAGTTGTTTTATAATTATCGATGTAGTTGTATCAACTTGGTCTTTTAGTAGATAAAATTGTACTTTATGGGCAAAAATGACTATTCTAAGCAGTGTAAAGGCAAATTAAAAAAAAATAAGATAAAGAGAGAAAAATAAACGCGGTAATTCCTTAAAGCAAATTTATATAATATAAAAATTAAAAGTTGATATTAACAGACCATTGTCATACAAGAATTAAGAAAGCAACGTACTGAGAAGGCTGGCATGTATTAGTTATAGCTGTAAATACTTATCTTGGATATTACATTCTTAAGTTATCTGTGCTAAACGCATGTTTAGGTCAAAGATTTAAAGAAATAATTTAATAGTTTTTAGCATTTATTAGAATTAACAAATTATTATTTCACTTACACTAGCTTCCCTCAGATGCTCTTCTATGAAGGTATCATTCGTAATTACATATTATAATACAGGTAGTGTTACTTTTGGTAAATTTTATTACGAATCTTTACCTGGCTTTACCTTACCCTGGCTATGAGATACTCCAGGTATCTGGGTCTCCCTGTTTGGGTACTAAATTTCATCGAAATCCGTCAAGCCACTTCATCGTGAAGGAATAACAAACATACACACAAAAATACAAATTTTCACATTTATAATTAGTAGTCTGATTACAATATATCTAATCGATTTATGATTTCTCTATTTTCTATATTTTCTAGCCAAAATAACCAAAAAAGATTTAATTGAATTAAAAATCTATTAGACAAAACAAAGATATCATATAGCAAATAAAATAGACTTTTAAATAATTTTTTATGTTATCTTACGTACTAATGTTGTCTTCATAATATTAGTATTTATGTGACATCTGTCGTTATTCATAGTTAATCGTTGTTATAGCGCTATAACAGCAGTCAACCATATATTTTGTTTAATAACTTTTGTTGGCAATTCATTAAATAAACGAATAAATAAATAAGTATAGTAGTAATAGTTTTTAAATATTCAAAAGTTTAAAAATTAATGGAAACAAAGAAAAAAAAACATAATCGAGATACTTTATGCTTTTGGTTGTTTTATTTCTGCGTAATCAGCTTTCAATTACAGAGGGCCATGCTTAACGTAAATCCAATTAGGCAGACATGTTTAGCTCTTTTCTTCGCTTGTAACATTTAACTATGTAATATTTAAGCAAGTAAGCTTCATATTTATAAGTATAATATTCCATCAAGCTAGCAGTAATGTGAGTTTTATATTGAAATAAAATTTCTTTAGTAAAATAACATTTTTATTTTAAAGTTATGGTACAACATTTATTATAAATGTTAATAATATAAAATTGTAATGCGTGACATTTTGCATAAAACGTGTAATAATAAAACACAGAAGTTCTTTTATTTCAAATTTTATTTTGAAAGAATTTTTAAAACATATGAAGATTATTTCTTCATTATAACAAAGTATCTATACTAATATTATAAGGAGATAAAGTGTGTGAGTTTGAAAGTTTGTAACATTGTAGGGGGTAATCTCTGTATCTACAGAACCGATTTAGATGAAATTTGATAAGAAGATAGTTTGAGTCCCTGGGAAGGATATATGATACTTTTTATCCTAGAAATCATCTCTTAAGGGGTAAAAATGTGGATGAAAGTTCTACTATAACTTTATTTAGAAGCATATATTTTCTGTACAATTTAGTTAATTTTACGAATAACCAGTGTCATTGTTATCAGATCAAGAATTACCAACTTTTTACTCACGATAATAAATCTAAGCAGATGCATTTGCCTGCGATGCAATTAAAAACGACAAACTCGTACATGCACATAAATGTAATTTGGTGTGGGAATGTCGCATGAATATGAGTAAGGATAATAGGGATCACGAGAAATAATTTAAACGGGCAATAAAGATAACATAATATGTGCGTAAAATGTGTATCAAGGGCGAAAAACATAAAAATAACGGCGATCGGCACTTAATAAACCACTTAAGAAGTTCATTAGCAGTAAGCCGTTTGATCGCTTTAATGTGTATGAACCGGGTGCATTCGTCGCCTGTCGAAAATGTATCGTTACGACTTTAACATCTAATGGAGTTGTCAGATTGCGCAAACCGATGGGAATTGGGAACTGTGTGGGCTCGGCTAAGGTTGTCACTCGAATCTTTTAACTAAGTATAGATGTACAACATGTGATACAGTGTTTTGTCTATGTTTTTTTAAATTAATATAGTAAATACAAAATTCTTTTTATATATAAATTTAAAGTTTATCTTTAATTAGATATGCATTCATTAGATTTGTATATATTTGGAATGGATTTGTAAAGAAAAAATATTTGAATACAAAGTTTTGTTTTATTTCTTTGGTCAAGCAAAGATTAAAAGAGTATCTTGTTTTTCTTGAAGTTTGTCAAACGTAGTCTAAATATTATTTTTAATTTTTATCGATAATATTTTATTTTGTTAAATGTGTATTGACAACCCTGGTAATAAATAACAAGCAGAGAAAGCACGTAAACTAGAAAGGCATTTTGATACAGTACCAGAGTTCGTCACCCACATACTCATCAGTTAACCTAATGTATTTTTTGGTTCAAAACAATAGAACTTAACTCAAACAAGTGCTAATAAGAAAGTTGTAATAACTAAATGAAATGACGTAAAGTTGTAATTCAAACACATAACTAATTGTTGGAGCTAGACATAAATTGATATACCATGAAAAATTTACAAATTTCGTAAGAAGAAATTTATATCAAAGGTCAGTACATAAGTACATATTTAAAACAATTTTAATATTTAAAATAATTTATCTATGATTATAATTTATTCGGAACAACATTGATTTGTTTTATGTTTAAGTTAGATATCATACTAAACTTTTGGTTTCAAAAATATATTAAATAAACCTCATACATAAACTGTCTCCATATGGGCCTATAGTGATGAACAGATAGACACGGATAGGACAGAATGAAAATAGACAAGTAGAGTCCTGTGGAAGTTGTTAACGCTCATTACGTTAGGCCGCGAGAGTAGTAAATTGTATGCACAATACTTTGACTGACAAATCGTTTGAGGATACGATAAATACCTCGACCATTTTCATCCGTTAAGCAGATAATTTGAAAGTAGATCACGTTTCACGTAGGCTTTGATTTTTATTAGTAGCTTAATGTTTTGTTTTTGTAATATAATAAAACAATATATCTTTTATGCTTATTCGCCTACGACTTGATTTGGATATGGAGATAATTAATATGCCTATTTTATTTTTGTTTAAATTCTTCCGGTAGTGAAAGCACTCTTAAAATCTGTCCCACCGTCTGATACAAATGCATACTTATTAGATATATGTACATACATATAGACATACATACATGTAGAATATATATTTATTATATATATATATTTTCCACGTTTGGAATGCTTTATACCAAACATGGTTCACAGGAGAGATCATATTTGCTATAAAAATAAAATAATATTATTTGAAAGATATAAACATAAATATTTTTATAATGGCTGTACGGGTAAAACCAGTGGATTCAATTTTTATTCACAATTATAGCTGTTGAAATAACAGATAGACATTTTAATTTTATTTATACATTGTTATACATTTATAAAAATAATAATAAAAGTATACATACAAATATTATTTTAGTTTAAACCAACAATTTTAAATTTTCAAATATTAAATTGTTTATATTCCAGGCTGGTCATTACAATGCAGCTAGCAACGGTTTTAGCTGCAACAAACGTGACTGATTCTACACAGGTACTTTAAAATTTCATTTATATGTTTAAATAATTCTTTGCCTGTGTTAAATCCTCTGGCGTACATACATTACATTCTTGAATTAGCTATATTTATGTTGTTTATAAAATTTAGCTGAGCCGATTAATTGAACAATACAAAGTCTCATAGTCATGAAAGTCTGTACAGATGTTCTCGAGTTATGCGCAACTATACAAACTTTTAATTTAATAGCAATATATATATATATATAGTATGTATATATACATACTAGCATTACCCGTGGCTCCGCCCGCGTTCAGATGTCCAAAAACAAAATTCTTAGGTTTTACATAATATTACATTACAGTTTTTGTATTGTTTCTCAGAAATAAGATATTTTCCCGCGGTAAAAAGTATCCTATATGTTGACCCGGATAACCAGCTATCACCATACCAAATTTCATTAAAACCCCTCCAGTGGTTTTTCTGTGATGCGGTAACAGACAGAAAAACAGACAGACAGACAAAAATTCTAAAAACTCTAGATTCGGCCTCTATATCGGTAATAATGTTAATTTGAATAAGATTTTCCAAAAAATATCTAATGTACAGATTCGGCTTAGTTACAATATTATTATATGTAAAGATATATTATGTAACCTATTCTACATTTTTTAATCGGATTCGTAATTTTGAATATACATTATACATATATTTAAATATAATATATATTAATTTTATATTGTATTTAGATTAATTTAACACATTATTTTATTTCAGATAGTAGGAGATTCAATAGTTAATTTGTATGCGTGGAGCGCGTGGGGTAGTTGGAGTGCCTGCTCGAGAAGTTGCGGTGGCGGAGTCTCAGTACAAGAAAGAGAGTGTTTGCCGAGGTATTATCATATAAAGTATTGAATACTTTTAACCACTTCACTTGCATGCTAAGTAGGATAGCTATATTTCGTTTCTATGATATAATCTATGTCCTTGTAAAATTTTATCAAAATATGTTCAACGGTTTAATCTTGACTACATAACATTAGTGTAACTACCTCGATGGTGGTGATAGTGGCTATCATGTACAGCTGCACAACCTGAGTTCCTGGGTTCAAGTCCCGGGTCGGGCCAAGTTTAGTTATTGAGTCTTTCTTTTAAGGAATTCACAGTAACATCCCGGAGTTGAGAAGTTAAGGCTGTCGGTTCTGCGCCTTAACTCTCACTGGTCGTGTCGAACTGTCGTCCCACCGGAGTATTTTTTTTTCTAGATAACAATACTAAAATATCGTAACCTAATATTATTACGATCTAGCCAACAAGGCTAATTAGTAATTTAACTTTAACTTAGTTTTATAAAATAATATATCTAAGAATGTGTTCAATGGCACTATTCTTAAAGTCTCTAGTTAAGGCGAAGACACTTTGTTCTTGTGTTTTATATTGGTAGCACTATATTATTATTACTTTCACTACATTACACTATTTTTTTAACACTACACTAACTCAAAAAGTTTAGTTATTTTGAGCCTTCTCACTATGTCCGTGTTGTCGAGGAGCTGGATTGCCTCGATATTCACATGTAAGGAGTATGAGAATGGTGCACTATAATATCTCCTGCGATATGTATGATTATACTAATCTCTCCAATCAGTGATATTGGCCGTCGTCAAAATTAAAATCACTTGAAATTAATGACCTCTCTTAAGTCTAAATATTTATTTGTGTCTCTATAGACATAATGGTCCTATAACCATCTCCATAATAATAATATATTTGTTAAAAAAATTAACTCGTAGTTTGCGAGGATATTGCGTAACATACACATAAAAATGTGAGTGGAATAAAATGAATTCAATATCTCCTTTATGAAGTTGGTGAAAAAGAGGATACTAAACTAGACGGCGCTAACTCGCTCGAGGCGGATAAAACAAAATTTGTAATCACCGTGCATACATTTACACGCCTATTATAGTAATTCCCTTAACGGGCTACACCTTAGAATCAAAAGATAACCATCTACAGATCACACTCTAAACACCTTGTTCATACAAAATACAAATATTTCTCTTCCGTTAGTCGCTTCATATTTAAAAGGTTTGGGTATTTTATATCATATCGTCTATTTAAACCATGCTTTGTTGCTTGAAAAGTTTTCTACCAGTAGTTTGGCATTTTTTCGTGTTCTAGGATAGGTGAATAAAGTAGCCAAATTCTTAGAAAAATTTACGGCGTGAAAAATAACCAACTTATCTAGACACTTTCGATTAAATATGCACAATGCACATGTTTGGTATTTAAACATTAAAGTTTTAAATGAAACTATCTTTTCGGATTATTTCGCGGATTTATTGTGATTTTTTTTGGTTCCCGACGTTTCGAGTGCTTTACAGCAATCATGGTCACGGGAGAGACTAAGGTTAAAGACGTCTCAAAGGCTTTATATACTTGTTACAGACAGTGCCTACCCACTATTTTACAAAAATGATTTCAAAAAATTCAAAAACTGCACCAAAGTACCTTACAATATTTGTTGATTTTATTTCTAAACGCGATATAATCCGAAAAGATAGTTTTATTTAAAATGTTGAATATTCGCGTAAATCAGAGAAAGTATTACATTAAAGTTTTTTTTTAACATATTAAGAAATCGCCATATATTTATTACTATTACATCAGATATTTTCACTAAGTAGAAATCAAACCGTTTTGTTAGGGTCGTGGGTCAAGCGTAAGTATGAGGGGCAGTAAATTCCAATCTACCAAGATTCGCGTAATCTTTTACTTTACGACTTTATAATAGAGTGTATAAAATTTTAAATTTTAGTCATTTAGTAATAAGACATCCATTTAGTAGATAATACATTTTAAGGGCTAAAAATGTATACTAATATAATAAAGTTAAAAAGTTGTTTTTTTTGTGTGCACGCTAATTTTCATTTAATTAAAATCTCTAGAACTCGGTCGGATTTGAAAAATCTTTTCTGCATTTAAAAGCCTAATTCACACTACGACGTTTAGGATCGAAATACTTATACATGAATATTGAATAGTCTGTCTACACGAGCAGAGCTGCAGGAAAAGCTAGTAGAGTGTATAAAATTTTATTTTGTCATTTTGCAATAACATATATGTATATAGAATAATGAGCTGAAAGTTGTGGATTTTTCTAATATTTATTAAAATAATTGTGTAAATTGAATAATTTGTATTACAATGTCAATAAGAAAAGTTGACCTAGGGTCACCATTCAGGGGTGTTGTAGTGTGTGCGCAAGCGATCCTGCAACGCCCCATTGCACTGCGGCAAAGGGTTCCGCTGTGGGTTTTAGTGAGTAGGAGTCTCACAGTACCCTGACAGTTGACGTCCGGCAGGGTCCCCATGATGGGTTTCTCCAGCATCATAAAAAAAAGGGTCAGCATTCAATACGCTAATCACGAAATTGTAAAACCGACATGTAGCGTGAAATTACTTTAAGAAACGCTAATTTAAAACTATAAATGTGTATAAGTATGTAGAGTAAGAAATTTGTTAAAAGGCAAGAAGCTATTAAGGTGGTTACTTTAATCGTGATTGACCCGTGAAGTGCTAGCTAATGAGATTGCAATTACTGACTAAACTGTCTGTAGGATAAAATTATCCAGTTTTATCCTTTTTTATTACTTCACTTAGGCTCTATAAAAAGTTTTAATTCACTTATTATAGACGCCTTGTTTTATAAAATAATATTCTCTTATCGCTTGCAATGTTAATATTTAGTATTATATGTTTATAGTAGTGACTTTTTCTCACTTTGCTCTTGTATATCCCTCGGTATTTAATAGTAACCTATATGTTACTCCAAGTATAGATTCTGTCCAAGCCCGTTTACTAATTTTAACCACATCCGTCCAGCCTTTACATCATGAAGAAGTAACTAACAAACAAACTTTTGCGTATAATATACTCGAATTAGTAGTATTCCGATAAATAGCAGTTCAAAAGGAAGTTTAAATTACTGTACAATGAGTTATCTATTATTCTAGTACTTTTATATACAAACAAATCTATCCCACGGAAACCGTAATTTTTTTCTGGATAAAAAGTAGCCTATGTGTTATTCTGATGTATGATCTATATTATTGTAAAGTTTCATTAAAATCCATTCAGTAGTTCTAGTATTCAAAGAGTAACAAACATCCATACACCCAGACATCTATACATCCTCACAAGCATTCGCATTTATAATATTAGTATAGATGACCATTTTTATGCTTTTTTATTAACGCATAATGTTTTTGCATAAAGATAGTGCACGGGCCAGATATTGAAATAGGTTTCTTTTTATTTACTGGAATATTAGTTGGTTGAAAAATCTTCCCAAAGCATACTTTCCAATTTTGATAGATCGAGAATATTAAAATCGATTTTTTAACCATTAAATTTCTAGTTAAGCTTCAAATAAGATATTTACACCTAGTATCTTATTAAATGGCGATTATACGTCGAAACATCAATTTATCAGAAGCAAGCAACACCTTATTAAAGAATCATTAAATTATCGTTCGTAATAAATTAAAAGTTCAAACGTAAATGATCACCATCCATCAAGAGACATAGCTGAGTGATTTATTAGCTTTACAAACGCCACATATCGTATTTCGCGAGGCATTGTAGCGAATGCTTGACAGAAATAAATGAACATGTTGAATGATATTGCCATTATAGCCTGTATTATCCTAATCAGATTTAAATACAGATCGCAGCGGGAGATTAACCGGTTTAGATGGTGGCAAAGGAAGATAACTTTAAGATATGATATCCGTAAAACATTTAACTGCATGAAATGTTTATTTTTTATTTTTGCACTTGATGTAAAGTGTGTTTGTTTGTATATGTTAATTTTTAATAACAGGGGATCAATCTAATTAGCAAAAACAGTTTTATTTTACATTGTAAATTCATTTGGAAATTTTAAAGTATTAACATAAAATATTTAACACAAAAAATATTATGTAATATACAAAAAATATTATATACATATTATGTAAGTTTAATCCAAAAGCTTTTTACAGAATTAACAAAATACACCCAAATCTAAATATGAAAGTTTGTACTTACATGTAGACACAACACATTTATATATATAAGAATATTTTACGCATATATATTTTACTTTAAAATATTAATTACTAGCAAACTCACCCTTGCTTCACTCGGGTTCATCCCTAGGTTGATTTCCCGTACAAACTTTCATTCCCATTTTTACCCTCTTAAGGGGCAATTTACGGAAAAATAACTATTGTAAATCCTTCCCAATGTCTCAAAATATCTATTTACCAAATTTCATCTAAATCGGTTCAGTAGTTTCGAAGCCTATTCGGTACAAACAAACAAAAAATCTTTCCTCTTTATAATATTAGTATACATAGATAACATTATCATAATTCATACTATTGATAAACAAACGAGGAATAATTCAAGTCAGCGATACAGAAACATGCATAAATTAAATTTCAATATTTCAAATTAGTTTTGATCGTCTTTAAATTGGTTGTACATGGACTTTCAACCCATTTCTAAATAGTTCAAACCGTTATTTTAATGAGCTATTTGCGTACAAATGAAAGCGCACCGTAAATAATTGTAACAAGGACTCAGGATTAATACGACCAGTTTCAAAGTCCTGTTACTTATATAAGTAGGTAATCAAAATTCAGTCACTCTTAATTAGGGGAGGTGCCGCGGGCCGGACCGCGAGATAAAGTTAACTAGCACGAGGAAATGAGAAAACAGTTAAATCGATTCAGTTATCATCTTCCAGACATGTTGTAAAGCTTTGTATTATAAATGTCTCAAAATGGTAAAAAATTTAACCGTCACACAGATTTAGTTTACGAGTATGTTTTAAAAAGTATATTCAAATATACTGTATCGGATTTTTTAAAAGTATTGTATGATATCTAAAATGATAAGGAATGTGACAGGTTAAATCTTTTAACTAATAATTTTTCTATTGAAATATAAAGTAACTTCGTTGTAATAATAATTTAAAATATTACAATATAATTTATGAATATACATCCCAATACGAGTAGGACAATCAATTCATTATAGCGAGAAATAAATTATTTAGATCACCTTTGGGTATAAATTCCTTCATTAAGCACACTCTAGTACAGTATCCTGCTGATAGGGAAGGTAACAACCGACAAATTAACTCGAACGTCATTTGTCACGGCTTCTATACCAATGGAAGCCGCATTTTATTGGCTGAGTAATGAGAGATGAAATATTGTATTAAAGTGATTTAAATTACAAGTACTCGTACCGCTTTTTTTATTTTTTATGATACTTTTTAAAGTCATATTTTATAATATAGTATATTGTTATTATGTGTATATTGTATATTGCAGTTTGTACGTGGTTTTGTAACAGTAAAGTATATTTTCCATTACATTTAAAGAGTGTATTTTTGTTTCATGTACCAAAGTCCAAAGAGCTTTTTAGGGTTTACTATCTATCTAAAGGATTGGGTTCAGTCTTCAAACCCCACACCTGCATGTTTTCGGTCCGTTTATCCTACAAATAATAGAGTAAAAACCAAAAAACAAAATCTCCCATAAAAATGTACAGCTCAGCTTATTTTTATACTAGCAATTCGCCCTCGCTTCGTTTCGTTATAATTGGGGTTGTTAGAACAAATTCAACAAAACAAAGATTATAAAAATCAGTCCACCCGTTCTCGAGTTATAAGTGTTGTAACAAGAACGTCTCTGTTTTATGTGGATGTATCACGTATCTAAATTCTTCAAGCACTAAATTTTATATTATTATAGTTTAATATATAATCTATGTAAAAATAAATCAGACTCACGCTGCATAGTTCAAACAATATTCCATGTAAAGCTTTATTTTATTGACTGAAGAGTACTAAAGCCCGATTGTAAGTTTTTGTGGGTTTGTCTGATGTGATATTCTTATTCTTCTTCTACTTTCATTATTTTTAATGATTAGATCTCTCACTCTTAACTATAGAATAAAGTCCATTTAAGAAAATTTATAGTGATTTATTGCAAGTTCATACATCTGTACATACTGAACCTCCGGAACGCAAGTCCGACTCGCACTTTGCCGATATTTAGTACACAAAGCCGCTTAATTAGCTATTATTTATTAAAAAAACAATCCCTAAAATATTTAAAAGAATTCCTATACAGTTGTGATAATATCAAAGTATCATTAAATTAGATTACTGGGTTGAGTTATTTGTTACTAGGTCGTTAATTCTATGGCTTTTATGTTACCGCCCATTTGTTTTGTTTTATTTGTTAGGAAGTTCGTAGCTATAATTAATAAGGTATATGGTTAACGTTTTATATATATTTTTATAGGCATTTTTATATTTTCATGATATATATTTAAAACTATTTTATTTTATTTGACAACAAAAAATATCTCAATGTAATTTTTTAACACTCTTTGTTTTGATAAGACAATTTCAACGTTATTAAAAAAAATGTAAAGTTTCAATAGCAATACAATAATTTGACACCAATGGAGAGGAAATTCTATGGTTAGTACAAAAACCTTCGAGCTTGGGTTAATTTGATCTCTTTTGACAAATGTCTTACTATATGCTCAAAACGGTGACTTTTTAAGTTTTTTTAGCGCCCCCCTTCTAGCCACGGGCATTTATCAATACGAGGGAGATCATCCCATTATGCACCACGCTGGCCAACTGCATTTGTTTCGAGAACTTTACGTTCCTTCACTACAAGGCGATTGATAATTATGTTGAAAAGAAATAATTTGCTCATGAATATATCAGACGTATGAGATATGAGATTTGAACTCAGTTCACCTGAAATATAAATAAAACGAGCACTTTACCACTGGGTTACCACTGTTTTAATAGATGATATTTATAGGCTAGAAAAATCACATACAACTCTATATCCCAATATACCAAGTGATTCCGCAGAATATAATGTACGAGTATTTATATTAAAATTTAGCTGAAAATTAAAGAACTAAAAAATATTTCATAAATAAAATTAAAATTAATAAAATAGTTAATAAATAAAAATATTCAATGTTAATAAAGAAAAAAAAGTAATTAATAATAAAAAGATAATAAGAAGACCTTTATTTAAATTCTACAGTAAAATATTTATTTCAGATCGCGTAATCTAATTGTAAATGAAACTGGGCCTTCGACTACGACAGTACGAGTTACGAGACAAGCGACAAACGACTGCCTCGGAGTTTCTAGAAGATACCACGAATGCAACGCACACGTGAGTTACATGTGACTTTATTTGACTTGTGAAGTAAGCAGTTATTCTTGAAAATAATTAACATATTTTAATTTATTAAAGCATTTTAGTATGTTTTATTTTTACTCTTGATTTTAAGGCAACGTTATTGAAGAAATCGGAGATTTGCGATGTAATACAAACGAAAATTTACATTTTTCTTTTTTAGATTGTTGGTAAGGTTTATTTAGTAAAGTATCATTAACTTTATGCATATATAAATATTTAGCATCATATTATAGCCTGTTAGGGTCATGTAGTTAATAACAATAAATATTACAAATACTATGAATACCCACTTATTCTATTTTATGATTAACTAATAAAATTTGGTCAAAGGACTTCTTTCATTTTACTTACATAAACATACATATAAAACTTTGTACGTAAACTGTTAATTGCTTTATTACAAGCTTTTATTTAACTGGCCGTGTTAGTTCACTGATTGAGCTGAAGTTTGGCATACACGTTTAGTTTGGTTGACAAGGCATGGTTAGTAAAGTGACGTCATTCTAAATTATTCATTATGGCGGACTCCCAAAAATGGCAGACTATGTTTTTTTATGCATCTCCATGATATGAATATCAAATGAAAGTGATTGCTATTATGAATAAAACAAAAAGTAAAAAATAAAAAAATAATAATTGTAAAAAAACATTCTTATAAACAAGCTTTTATTTAAATACTATAAAAAGAAGACATACATACTACACAATTTATATGATATAGAAACTTGTCGCGAGATTTACTTGTGTACATAAACAAGAAATATTTCTATAAAATAGATAAATCTAAGTAAAAGTTTGTTTTTAAAAAAAATTTCTTACTATTAATTTATCTAAATTATTACTTTTATCATACATACACACATACATGTAGGTATCTACATATATACATATATTTAATTGACTTTTCCACAGACGGGTCTTAAACTTGTCATTACGTATATTCATGATTATTAAAACTTTAAAAAAACTTCCAAACACTACAAATAACAAAAAAGAAAATCTATACCTACAGATAAATAAAATTGAAGTGTCTGTTTGTAACAGCTTTTTACTAAATGCACATATAAAATTATATACGGTACTCATTAGAAAAGCACATCTTTTTTTGTCTGGCTGTCTTTTTGTTCCCGATAATCTTGGAAACGGCTGAACTGATTTTGATGAGACTTTTACTGGCAGATGGCTGATGTTATAAGGAGTAACTTCGACTACTTTAATTTTATAAAAAGAATTAGGGTTCCGCTCAAAAAAATTAAAACGTACCTTGGAACGCATCCGAGCGAAGCTAGTTTCTAGAGCTAAAAAAGAAACAAGTTAACGAAAGAAAATAATATAAATAAAATAACATATTGTATTCAATTAATATTTTTGTACATATATTATAATTTTATATTAATGCGGAAGGCTTAATTTTAATGATATTAATAATTTATTATTCAAATTAAAATCACTCTGTATATATACGTATTACCTATAATATGCTTCGTAACAGCTTGAGTAAAACAATATACAGGCTAGGCGGGTAATTAAAATCACTGCCTTTTGTTAAATCATTTGTTATTAATGGAACTGATTTCCCATGTCGCAATACATCCGCTTAATAAGCTGTAGTTAATGTTTAATCAAGTTTTAAAGGTTTAAAACACATGGATAGGTAATGTGTACACGACCGTTGTGTATTTACACTTAGAATGCATATTACTATATTCAAAATATGTATAATAGTTGAGGTTAATTTTTCATTCATTTTCTAGATATTTTTTTTACTAATACTAATCTTAATAAAATCGCAGAAAAAAAATGTTTTTTTTTATTCTGAGGATAATTTTTTTTTAGCATTTAAATTATTATTAACCGACTTTAAAAAGGATCTAAGTCAATTAGGGTGTTTTTTTTGTATGTACGAGTATCAGTATCAGTCATCATTGAAATGGTTATCAAGGAAGAGATATCGAAACGAACGATGTTTGGAAGGACTTGTACAAGAATGTTGATATGCCAGTTAGTGTATGTTACAATTAAGATTCATTTCAATTTCATAGAAAAATTTGTTTGTATAGGCGTGTTTAAGCGGAGAAAGAGATGTACGCGCTGAGCAGTGCTCGTCTTACGACCGCAGACCCTTTCGAGGAAGATTCTACACATGGGTACCTTATATTGACGGTAAGTACATAAAAAACAATAAATATTATAAATATTAAGAAACTGACTCTCTCTGTTACATTAACAATGAACAGATTTCGATGAAGTTTACATGCGAAGACATACTCGTAAATTGTATTGTAGAGAAAATTATATACGCTACATTTTATTCCCGCCCGCTTACCAAAAGCTAGTAGTAGAATATTTATGAAAATTATTGGTAAAATTTTCATGTTTATCAACGTCTTATTCAAATTATTCGCAGTAATAATTTTATTAAGAGGAAGTAAGTTAAAGTTCTGAATCCATCTATGTATTAGATGCCTTGTCTTCTAAAATTTATATTTAGTGTATTTGAAATTTATTTATTTATTGACTTACCAACAAAAGTTACAATGGTTAACACATATAATCTTGGCACTACACTTAACATGTTAATTGCACTTTTAATTATAGGTAAATACAGTATGACAATTACAATATTATTAATATTATTAATTAAGGTTTTAAGTGATCATGTGGAAATATAATCTTTATATGTAAAATATATCTAAAGACTATTATCTTCTCGCACATCTAAAATGTATCCTTCAATATGTAGTCAAACGCTTTATTTACTACTACTCGTATCCTTATAAAAGGTATATCAAGTAAATACTGGTTTTAATCCGATGCCTCATTTATAACCAGAATAACGGTAATCTTAATCCCAATAATTAATCGCAGCGGCTAACTTCAGATAAATTTAAATGAACAGTGTACATAATGTGACTTTCATTGCAATCTATAAGCATTCATTTGTTCGAAATCTATAAGTGAACATATTTCAAAATATTGAAGGTATTTACAATGACTTATTTCTATGTTAAAATATTGTTATAGTAAATTAGTAATTAATAAAATCGTCAGGAAGCATGTCTGAGAGAACGTAGCAAGTTCTCGAAGTCATGTGAAGTCCGCCATACCGCATTTGGCCAGCGTGGTGGGCTATGGCCTTTTCTGTCTCGCATTGAGAGGAGGTCCGAATCCAGCAGTGGATCGTTAAAAATAGCTGAATACAACACCATACGATATATAATAAAATTTATTTATGGATTTAGATATGGATGGGATTTTTTTACTAATCAAATTTTATTCAGCCTTCAGACTCGTATGCATACTTATGTTTTAGGGACAAAATATGATTATAATCATTTTAATAAACGTTGAACTGATACTGAGTTATATTTATATTCAGTTTTATATACTTGCCGGATATCTGATAGTAGTTTAGCTAATAAATTTTACCAAGATAGATAAATATGTAAAACAGTGAATATTAATTTTTAAGTTTTCTGAGATTTTCTAGTGTAATTTCTAAATTATAAATAGAAGTTCGTAATCATTTTAAAATTTTTGTCAGTCTTTTTGTTTATCATGCAGAACAAACTTTGTATGATGAAACTGATTTTGTTAGAACTCTTGCAATTGGATAGATTTTTTTAATTATTATAGAGAAATAAGATTTACGAAATACGAAATTCCGTTCAAATACATATTATAATGTGTAAGTAAATATGTAATAAAACACACACAGGTGATTCTCCGTGCCTGTTGAACTGCCGCCCTCTCGGGCAGCAGTTCTACGCAACACTGGCGTTGGTAGCGGACGGCGCGCCCTGCACGCGTGTCGGGTACAGAGCCATCTGTGTTCAAGGGTCTTGTAAGGTTAGTGGATGGAAAATTTATGAAAAATGTAAGTCTTGATGTTATAAATTCTAAGCAATGTATCGAGAATCTATTCTGATAGAAGGATCATTCATTCTGTACAAAGTTTGAGCCATTTTTACAGTTCAGGTCTTAACTATACCTACTAGATTTAAATGCTGCCTAGGAGCCGTTCAAATATTACGTAAGCAGATTTATTACAATCATTTACCCCCCCATCCCCCTTGTCAGCAAAAGTAAGCAAAGCTCTTACCCCCTCCTGCCAGGCTTACGTAAACATTTTTCAATTATAAATGTATTTTTTTATATTGTAATTATAATGTTATAATTATAATTTTAAAAATAATAAAATAGATTTAGGATAAAGATTAGATTTTACTGCCACACTTCGTTAACTAACTTTTGTACATTTTGTACTTTAGTACTTGCATGAGATTTTTTAAAACTTTGATACAATTTTTGGTATAACTTGGATTTGTCTATTTGAAACGACATCTTATTTAAACGTTAAACTTTGGCTAATGGAATCAACGGCAACACAAATGTTAACTTGCTTTGCTATGCTTACAATACGTCTACTCGCTATAGTATCCAAACAAAACAATACACTAACGGAGAAAATTTAGACAAGTGAATAGCGCGCGGTAATTCCCCTAATCGGTTCTAAAGCGAGTGCCTAAACGTATGCATTATTTGCGGGAATTTTTAAAAATGCGTTTCGTTTTCAAGCATAGACAATGTGAGGGTTGCCATTTGTGTAAAAAAGTAAATAACTACCGATGACGTAATCATCATCTAGACTCCCCTACTCCCCATGTCATCCAAAATAAGCAAAACAAAGAAATAGTGCTTACGTAATACTTGAACGACCCCCTATAGATAATTATAATAAAAACTTAAAAAAAATAAAAACCGACGTCCAGGCACTAAAAAGTAAAAATAAAAGCCAGCCGGTACAAATAAAAGCACACCGGCTTCGAAAATATCTGATTAATTATCTATAGTAAATGAAAACTACCATCAGTTATTGTTTACTTTTTTGTGTTTTGTTTTGAAGTCTGTATTTTTTTAAGTTCTCAAAATGCATAGAAAACGTAAGGGGTAGTTATTTTGAAATTTATCAAATACAATTTACAAGCACTTTTCGCTAACTTCCCTTGATTTGTGCATAAACGCCGACACCGGCCACAAGTGCTTGCAAATCTACAAAAGCCAAGCCAAGGGCGTATCCTCTTCATATGTTTAAATTTGTAATGGCTTGTCGAGGCTTGGCAAGCGTGTGTATCCAGCATTAGGTTACGTATGTAAAGATAGACTACTTAACTTTAATCTGCACTGTATATATATTTTCCAGGTAAGCGGTGAGATATCTGGAAATTGTTTTGTCACGTGTTTATAGAAACTTTTAAGCACCTACTTTTACTAGCCTATAGCCGAAACGCGTTTTAGGCGTTCATCAAAAGAGTTGTTAAGCTGCAATAGCCATCTAAATATGGGTCTGGTACAGTTATAATTAAATTTTCTCTAAAAAAAATCATATCAATCGATTTAAATTACACACTAGACAATACAAATTCCTAAATTCAACAGAAAACATATTCCCATTGAATTATGATATCGAAATATTAAAGTTGCTTGTCTAATATATTTTATATCATTTTCTAATTGCATCACAGTGTTTAAATTATCCATATCCTGTACCGTATTCACAGTTATATATACCTATTTGTCAAGATAGTGATAATGTCACGATACAATATAAAAATTGAGTGTCTCATTTCCGCCCTCTTAGAATAGTATATTTAATTTAGACATAATTAATTAGCTCCTCCATCATTTAGTCAGTTCGCTATCTAGATGTCCTGTACACGTTTCTTCTCACATTACAACTTTAGTATCAGAAGTTACAATCAACTCTGAGTTGACTGTTATTAACCCTCTATATTTATGACAGCTCGGTTACAGTTTCCGCTCAATTCTCTAAGTAATTTACTACTTCATTCTTCATAATGTTTATATGTAATTCTCAGAAAATCTTGTGTACAATTATAAATAGATTGACAAGATTGCACTGGAGTAAAGAAGACACTTGTAACATACATACATATCAGACATACTAAACAGTTAATTTCAAATGGCAATACAACATATGTGAATTATTATGCCGACTAATAATATTTATTAGTTACGTAAGTACGCCTCCCTAAGTCAAAATTATTATTTTTTACCATTTGCTGTAGAAACCCTTGGCCCATGGCGTTAAAGTGCTGCACACCCCATTGCACTGCGGCGACGGGTTCCGCTGTGGGTTTTAGTGAGTAAGAGTCTCACAGTACCCTACCCATTGACGGCCGGTAGGGTCCCCATGATGGGTTTCCCCAGCGTCAACAAAAAAAAATGGCGTTAAAGTGCTAAGCACTTCTTAAAAGACAACACCTCGTCTTATCGCATCTACAGGTGACAGTAGAGCTGGCGCATTTTTTGCCCAAAGAATAGGCATTCAACGGAAGAATGCGGCTAGCATTTTTGCCACTACTCCACGCGGACACGACTTGTACAGTAATAACTAAGTGTACATTTGTTTTGTATATATATAATATAACTAAGTATATTTGTAATTTTATTTATTGCTTATTAGTTATTATGATTTTGGTTACATTTTACATTCTTACATTTGATACGCCTAATATGAATTATGTAATACAAAAAGGAATATTTTCTTTATTATATCGAAATCACAATATTTCCAATTTTATTTTAAGCCAGCTAAAAAACCAAAAAATAACAAAAATAAGAATAATAGTCCGTAAATAGGCTTTAAATAAAAAAAAAATGTTTTTTTTCTCTCACTCATCCTTGTTTCGCTCGAGTTCGTCCCTAGCTTGCTTCCCCATACAAATTTTTATCCCCATTTTCACCACTCACTCAATTTTATTTTATATCATAAGATTTTTGATGATGATTTCATTCGACGACACGTTTGGCTCAGTTATTAGTGACCCTACTTGCTGTGCCAGCGGTCGCGGGTTCGAGTCCCGCTGGGGCATTCATTTGTGTGATGAGCATGAATGTTTGTACTCCAGTCATGGGTGTTTATATTTATAATATGTATGTATTTAAAGTTATATGTATGCAGTATATCAACTATCTGGTATCCATAACACAAGCCTCGTAGCTTACAATGGAATTAGATGGATGGCGCTGTGTTAATGTCCCAACATATTAATTATTATTATTATTTATTTAAAAAAACTTATTTTAGTAACAAAAATTTTCTTTTAATTTTTTTCTATACAAAGCTTGTCCTGACAATAACAAACACAAAATAAAGAATTATCCAATTTGGTGCAGTCGACCGGAAGTTATGCGCGTACATACATTTCGTGATTCATTTTTATTTATATAGATTGTCCGATGCAAATGAGTTTTAGCGAAACAATTCTCATGATTATTATACTTACCTTTATTAAAGAAAATGAAGGCCCTATGAAACATTTACATGTACTACTAATAACCAAGGCTACGAAGTCACGTTAATTACTACATCCAATGGACATTATATTGCATTTGCAAGTCAATATGTGACACAAATAACTCTTGTTCTTAGATCAAAAGGGGTCTGTTTTGCATCAATTCACTAATGAGACTTTAAACGAACAAGCTACATAATATCAAATTGTGTAATATTATATACTGTGACAATCGTTTTTAGAAATTAGGTCTCAAATAAACCGCGTAACCACAAAATTTAACCGCAACCACCAACTTTATGGACAATTTATACTATATGTTTGTAATATTGTTCTAAGCATATTGTTACTCTAGCTATGTTGTGCAATATTTCAGAATTCGACATCTGTTGTATTAGCCAGCAATAAAACTACATGAATTGCTTACTAAGGTCTCGTACTGATGGGCTCGTGTAAACATTTGGCTATGAATCAAATGTAATTTTAAATACAAAAGAAATTTAGCTTCTATTGTTGTTGAATATTGTTTAAGTATTGCTGAGGTTCCGTACTCAATGCCGCCTTCGTAATACCTATTCAAGTTGTCTATAAAGCGTAATATGCTATATTAATTACAGGGTGGCCCAAAATAATGTTGACAAGCGATTTTTCAAATAATTTTATTAACTTTAAATTTAAATGAAACTATGCTATAAATTATAAAAATACAACTTATTTTTTACAAGAATCCCTATTTGTCTTTAAAATAACCTCCTTTAGTGCGAATGCATAGAGTCAAACGCTTGGTAAAATTTTCTACAATTTTCCGCACTTCTTCAACAGATATTTTGTCCCACTCCGGTGTAAGAGTAGCCTTCAGGTCATCAACAGTTCTATGAGGCATAGAACAGGTCCTTGCCTCTAATATTGACCATTAACTGTAATCCATTAGATTTAGATCAGGCGAGTAGGGTGGCCATTCTTTTGAGCTAATGAAATCAGGGAAATTGCTTTTGCACCACTGTTGAACACTTAAAGCTCTGAGAGCTGGAGCAGAGTCTTGTTGAAATATCCATGAATGGTTATCAAAGTGCTGTTGACTCCAAGGAACAACCACAGATTCAAGGATGTCTCGTCGGTGATTTTCTTGGTTAATTTTTATACCATTTTCTACAAAAACGAGGGGAGTTTTGCCAGTGGCGCAAATTGCACCCCAAACCATAATTGACTTTGCGTTTTGGTGACTTGGAATGACTGCGGCAGCTCCAAGACGAGTGGAAGACCAGATCCTGTCATTTTGGTGATTATGGGCTTGTTCTATCGAAAACCATTTTTCGTCGGAGAATACGATATTTTTCCAATTTGAAGCAGCGGAGCGTTGTTTAAGCAAACGACATCTCTCAAGGCGAACTTTTTTGTCTTTCTCTGTAAGCAATTGCGCTTTTCTGAGTTTGTATGGTATCAATTGGAGATCATATTTCACTATACGCTGCACGGTAGAGCGACTTATCCCTAAGTCTCGCGACATTTTTCTCAACTTGGTATGTGGATTTCGGACTAATCTTTGTTTGATAATGTGTTGGTTCC